GGTGCACAGGGTTTGCGGATTCCGCTGGATGGCAGGTCGGATGGAACGTTGCGTCGGCACCGTCGTGAAGTGGTTCGTCTCTGCACGCCGCTGGACAGCCGGTGACGGGATGGATCTCCACATCGACATCGCCTTGACGCGCCCACCTACGCCGTCGGAGACCGCGGCTTACGGCGAATTCGAGTCGTTCTCCACTACAACCCGAAGTCGTGGTCCCATAGTGGAGTTTGGCCGTGCCACAACGGCACATGGCAGCCCTATTCAGGGATGTCACTGGCAGCCCCCACGAGGGGAGGGGCCTAAAAAAGGTGGCCTAAATATTGCTGGGTACCACACCGTCTCCAGGCTAGCCAGGGCCGCAGACGTCTTATCATGGTCGAAACAATCAAAATCGAAACAACAACAATACCAATACCAACAACAACCATACTCATTCTCCTCATCCTACCTCTTCTTCCTCTTCCTCTGCCTATTCTTCTCCTTCGTCACCTTCTTCTCCATCTCCTTCCCGTCGCCCCACTCGTTGTCACCAGACTGGCAGGGTGAGCGCGCTCACTCTGGCAGCCTGGAATGTTCGTTCCCTTTTAGACAATCCGAGGAGCAACCGACCGGAAAGGAGGACGGCGCTAGTGGCACGAGAACTGGCGCGCTACAAGGTGGACATCGCCGCACTCAGCGGGACCCGATTCTCCGAACAAGGCCAACTGGAGGAGGTGGGTGCCGGCTACACCTTCTTCTGGAGCGGTCGACCCAGGGCAGAGCGACGGGACGCAGGTGTCGCATTCGCCATTCGGAACGACATCGTGGGACGACTGCCCTGTTTGCCGCAGGGCATCAACGAGCGCCTGATGAGCCTCCGCCTGCCTCTCTGGGGAGGCAAATTCGCCACCATCATCAGCGCCTACGCTCCGACGATGACCAACCCCGACGCCGTCAGAGACAAATTCTACGATGACCTACAGGCCCTCTTGGCGACTGTGTCGAAGGCGGACAATTTGATTGTCCTTGGCGACTTCAACGCCCGCGTCGGCACAGGCCATACTGCCTGGAGAGGCGTGCTGGGCCCCCACGGTCTCCGCGGCTCCAACGACAACGGCCTGCTTCTCCTCCGCACCTGCGCAGAACATCGCCTCATCCTGACGAACACGTTCTTCTGTCTCCCGGAGCGAGAGAAGGCCACCTGGAGGCATCCTCGGTCGCGTCAGTGGCACCTGCTGGACTATGTCCTCATCCGGAGGCGAGATCAGCGGGACGTGCTGGTGACAAAGGCGATCGCGGGCGCTGACGGGTGGACCGACCATCGCCTCGTTATCTCGAAGATGCGTATTCGCCTACAGCCTCGCAGGAGACCACAAGGTAAGCGACCCCCAGGTAAGCTGAATGTTGCCTTGTTGTCTTTGCCTGCTCACCGTCTCCATTCCAGCAATGAGCTAGCTCAAAGGCTAGACAACTTTCCTATCGCCGCCGACGCCGCCGCTGCCGAGAACGCCTCCGTGGAGAACCGCTGGTGTCAACTGCGAGACACGGTCCAGGCGACGGCGCTCGCCGTCCTCGTTCGCGCTCCCCGTAAACACCAGGACTGGTTCGACGACAACGACGCCGCCATCAGAAATCTGCTCGCTGAGAAGAACCGCCTACACAAAGCCTACGTAGATCACCCCACTGATGCCACCAAAGCTGCCTTCTACCGCAGTCGCCGCCAAATTCAGCAACGACTGCGCGAGATGCAGGACGCCTGGACTGCTCGCAAAGCTGAGGAAATCCAAGGCTACGCGGACCGCAACGAATGGAAGAACTTCTTCTCCGCGATCAAAGCTGTCTACGGTCCGCCGACGAAGGGCACTGCTCCTCTCCTCAGCGCCGACGGCAGCACTCTCCTGACTGAGAAGACGCAAATCCTACAGCGATGGGCCGAGCATTTCCGGGGCGTCCTCAACCGCCCTTCCGTCATCTCCGACGCCGCTATCGCCCGCTTGCCGCAAGTGGAGACCAACGTGGACCTCGACCTCCCGCCATCTCTCCAGCAGACCATCAGGGCCGTGCAGCAGCTCCCCAGCGGAAAAGCACCCGGATCGGACGCAATCCCTACTGAGGTCTACAAGCACGGAGGTCCCCAACTAATGGATCACCTGACTGCGCTCTTCCAGGAGATGTGGCGTCAAGGTGAAGTCCCGCAAGATTTCAAGGACGCAACCATCATGCATCTCTACAATCGCAAAGGGAATCGCCAAGTCTGCGACAACCACCGCGGCATCTCCCTACTGAACATCGCCGGGAAGATCTTCGCTCGCATCCTGCTCAACCGCCTCAACATACATCTGGAACAGGGCCTTCTGCCGGAAAGCCAATGCGGCTTCCGTGGTCATCGTGGGACCACGGATATGATCTTCGTCGCCCGTCAACTTCAGGAGAATTGTCAGGAGACGCGGACCCACCTGTACACTACCGTCGTGGAACTGACGAAAGGATTCGACACGGTGAATCGTGAAGGACTGTGGAAGATCATGCAGAAATTCGGCTGTCCGGAGCGATTCACTCAGATGGTGCGTCAGCTGCACGACGGTATGATGGCGCGAGTCACGGACAGCGGAGCTGTCTCAGAGGCATTCGCAGTGACCAATGGAGTGAAGCAGGGCTGCGTACTGGCGCCTACACTCTTCAGTCTTATGTTCTCTGCCATGCTGATGGACGCCTACCGCGACGAACGCCCTGGAATCCGCATCGCCTACAGGACGGACGGTCATCTCCTGAATCAACTGCGGATGCACTTCCAATCGCGCGTATCCACAACCACCGTTCACGAACTCCTCTTCGCCGACGACTGCGCCCTACACACCACCTCAGAAGAGGAGATGCAACCGAACATGGACCTGTTCTCCGCCGCCTGCGAGAACTTCGGTCTGGTCATTAACACGCAGAAGACGGTGGTCATGCATCAACCGCCACCCCACACAACCACTCCTCCCAACGCGCCGCCGCCGCAAATCAGCGTGAACGGAACCCAACTGCAGGTGGTGGAGAACTTCCCGTACCTGGGCAGTACTCTCTCCCGCAACACCAAGATCGACGACGAAGTCGCCAACAGGATCTCGAAAGCCAGTCAAGCCTTCGGTCGCCTCAAAAGCACAGTTTGGAATCGTCATGGTCTCCAACTGAGCACGAAGCTGAAGATGTACAAGGCCGTTATCCTGCCGACGCTACTGTATGAAGCGGAGACTTGTACGGTGTACGCAAAGCAGGCACGTCGTCTGAACCACTTCCACCTCAGTTGTCTTCGTCGCATCCTGAGGCTGAACTGGGAGGATCGAATCCCCGACAATGATGTGCTGGAACGGACGGGAATGGTCAGCATCTACGCCATACTGAGGCAAATTCAGCTGCGCTGGAGTGGTCACCTTGTGCGCATGGACGACGAGCGACCACCCAAACGACTCTTGTACGGAGACGTCGCGACGGGTTCTCGCCGTCACGGAGGCCAGATTCGCCGTTACAAGGATACCCTGAAGTCCTCCCTGAAATGCCTGCAAATCAACGCCACCAACTGGAAGGAGCTCGCACTCGATCGACCGACCTGGAGGAGAACAGTGAAGACAGGCGCTGCGATCTACGAAGCCAACCGCATCGCTGCCGCCAAAGCGAAACGTGAAGCCCGCAAATCACAACTTCGCCCAGTACGCAACGCCGCCGCACAACCGCTTCCAACGTGTCCTCGATGTCAACGGACATTGCGGGCTCGAATCGGACTTGTTGGACATCTTCGGATTAACTGCGACTCTAGAACGGCACCAACCATCGTCCCTCCGCCTGCCTCTTCCTCCTCCTCTCCGCCGCCAACTAACCCTGACAATTCTTCTGACCCACCACTTCCATCATCATCCTCCTCCTCCTTCTCCTCCTCCTCCTCCTCCTCCTCCTCCTCCTCCTCCTCCACGTCACCCACTGCTCCAACGGCGGCCGCTCAGGCGACTGTCCCGCGCACAACAACCGACACTACCACCACCTCTCTCGACTCCAGGGATGAGGATCAGAACTACACCTGCCCTCACTGCGACCGTACCTTCACCTCACACATCGGCCTGGTCGGTCACTTGCGAATCCATCACACAGAGACTGGCGAACCAGTGCGTGAAGCACCAACCTACACCCACCGCACTCGTCTCCACTGCCCACACTGCCCTCGCACCTTCACGCATCGCATGGGTCTATTCGGCCACATGCGCATTCACGAGAGCGGAATTGACCGCAATTCTGACACACCCGCCACATCCAACACATCCAACGTGCACACCCCCACCCTCGTTCCATTCGTCCGCGCCACCACCACCACCGCTTCCTCTGTAGCTGACACTGACACCGCCGACTTCTCATGGCCACACTGTCCACGCACATTTACCTCACGCATCGGCCTGGTCGGTCACTTGCGAATCCATCGCACAGAGACTGGCGAACCAGTGCCTGAAGCACCCACCTATACCCACCAAGCTCGTCTCAACTGCCCATACTGCCCTCGCACCTTCAGGCATCGCATGGGCCTATTCGGCCACATGCGCATCCACGACGACCTATAGTAGACAACCGCCGGTCACACCACACATTCACTCACTCCCTACCTCCTCCACCACCACCATCATCCCACCAGAAATCAACATTCACACATCTAATGCACCCAACTGCCACCTCCCACGCAAGTGGGAAGTCCGCAACTCGACTCGGTCCCCATGCGGCTTCGGCTGCACGGGTGACTTGAGTCCGAGACTATCCCGACACGTCAAGCGTCGTGGATAGGAAGGTTGCTGATTGACGCCCGCTGTCGGTTCACGCAGTTCGTCACGTTGTGTGTGTGTGTTGTGTGGAGTGGCGGACTGGTGGGCTGGGGACGGGCTGCAACAGCACCTTCCACGGCACTCTCACGCAAGTGAGAGACACGCCGTTTAACCCCCGTTGTGTGAAATCCTGGTGTTCTGTGTATGGGGGGCCAGGTCGTGCCGTGACGAGCGCAGTCATGGTCAGTCGACCATAACAGCCACCGCGCCCATTCCCCACTCCAGTCTGCTGACCGGCTCGGACAGCGGCTGGGGTGTGGGAGTGGGAAGGGAGAGTGAGGTCGACGACTAAGCGCACTTCCTCCTCACTATAAACAATCTGACGCGCTTGAATCTATCACGGTGCGCTAAAAGCCGTGGCTTGGAAGGTTGCCAACTGACGGGGTAACTTGGACCTCCTCCTTGACTGGAGGCGGTCTGAGAGTCAGGCTACAATGGCTCCTTTTTAATGTGGCCTTTATGGCACTCCCATCACAGTGTGGGATCCGAGCCAGGTGTTGGCAGCACGCCCAGGTGCGGCTTCGGTCGTGCCAGCCTCCAAATCTCTGTTGTGTTGGTTGAAATCCTGGTCATTTGTTGTGTGGACCAGGGGGTGCGGAGTGGAGCGCCAAGGCGAGGATCTGTCCGAGCCATCCACCTGCGGCCTCCCTCGTCTCCGGTCTTCTTGACTCTGTCTTGACACCGGGCTCGGGCGAGGGAGGAGGAGAGAGTGTAGGTAGCTGCTACGCAAGTCTACCGGCACTATAAACCCCTGCGTAAGTCACCGTCCCTGCTCCCATTGCTGCTGCAACTGTGGGGCACACGGTGGACATCATCGAAACCGATGGTCGCACTGTCAGTTATTTTGACCGAGAGAATAACGGACGTAAGCACCTGTACGCCTTATCCCCACTTAGGGTCTTCTATGATCTTTAACAGTTTTACTGCGACTCAAACAACCTAGAGGGTGTGGTGGACTTGTGACGATATTAGCTCAAGACAACGGAAAAGGAAAGTGTGTTCAGTCATGTTTGGTTTGTAACGCATGGCATCAGGCATAAAGCATCGCCAAATTACGTGGGATCTAACCATGAAAGGGAGGGCTTAATTTGAGCAGTTGCTGCATGCAGTTAGCCAAACCTGCTCCACCTTGGCCCACGCCTTGTGCACCGAAGGTTAGTACGCAGCAAGCGAAATGCCTCAGTGGGTTTTCTACTGAGAGAGATTGTAAAGCGGGCTGCTTGCTCACATATTTTCAATGTTTGTCCCACCGGACCACGCGAATTTAATCACATTTTGGTCAAGTTAACCCGCCCAAAACTGTATTCTGGGCCGCATGAACAACGACTTTGTCACCACAAACGATATCTCCTTCAAAATACTATTTGAGGGAAGTGAATAGTGCATTTCTGGAAAATACGCTTTTAGTCATGAGGCTGCCCCTCAGTGATCGTTCACGTGACTTACTACCCACAGGTGTGTTATTCCTGTTCGCTAATTATATAGCGTGATCTGTGTCTGCAGTAATATCCAGTAAAAGACGCGTAGAGTTGGGTGCATTTGTTTCAGAAAACACACGGCACGTTTTTTTGGAAGTCCTAAGTACGTGTGAAAATAGGGGTTATGTTTTACTGCATACAGACTGTAGCGAGCTTTTTCGTGTGTTGACATTGATGGAGGCACAATATCTCACGAAATGAGGATAAGGAATGCATAAGGCACACCCACATACGGGCTTGCAAGCTGGCTATTTCAGAAGGTAAGATTCCTAACTGCAGGCTCACAAACAACGGTGCACTCAGCAGAACAATTCCTTGACAAAATAAGGGCAGTCACGATCGAACCGAATGAAAGGATGGTGTCTTTTGACGTCTCACTTTTCACGTCCATACCACAGGCCCTTGCGGTCGAAACGCTCAGTGACCTGCTACGTCAAAATTACGACGGGGGCGATGGCCAGCCCACAGCTCAGGATCTCATAGAACTCATGGGGCACTGCCTCAAGACATTCTTTACCTTCGAAGGGACCACATACGAGCAGATCAAGGGCACTCCAATGGGTTCACCAATCGCCGGACTCATTGCCGAGGCGGTTCTACAAAAACTCGAGAGACGACTATTCGAGGAGTACAAACCCTAGTTTTGGGCACGCTACGTTGATGGCACCTTCGTGATCATAGACCAGGATAAAATCAACTACTATGCGGAAGTACTGAACTCAATCATGCCCGATCTACAGTTCACGATGGAAGAGGAAGTCGATGACAAACTTCCATTCTTGAATGTTCTCGTCTGCCGCCAACCAAATGGAGAACTAGCGACGTCGGTCTACAGAAAACCGACGAACACGCTGCAAATTCTCAGCGACAACAGCAACCACCCGCCACCACACAAACGAAGCTGTGTCCGCACGCTGTACCGACGGGTGGAAACTCATTGCAGCACGCCAGCCGCCAAACTGAATGAGATAAAGCTCCTCCGATAACTTTTCAGAGCCAATGGCTATCCGCGGGCATTCATTGAACGAAGCCGGAGGCAGCCAAAGAAACGGAACGAGGAGCATAGTCAGCCAAACTCGTGGCGGAGCATTCCGTACATTAAAGGGGTCTCCGAAGTCGTGGCTCGATCACTCGCGCCACTCCGAATAGGTGTTGCCCACAGGCCTGACTCAACAATCCGCCGGCAAGTGATGCGGCCGGAAGATCCGATCCCTAAGCAGGAGATGTCGGCCGTTGTCTACCGACTTCAGTGCAGCTGCGGAAGTTGCAACTACGTTGGGGAAACCGGCCGACGGCTGCAAACGCGAATGCACGAGCATAAGTTGGCCGTGCGAAGGTTGGACCCAAAGTCGGAGGTAGCAACCCATGCCGCGCAAATGGGACACATCTTCAACTTTGACGCCGTTGAGATTGTGGGCCGGGGCAGCGATCACACAGCAAGGCAAGTGCAAGAAGCCTGGATGTCCACCGACCGCTCTGTCAACCGCCACATCAATTTGCCTCCCCCCTATCTGACTTTACGAACCTTCTTAGTGGCGGACAGTCACGGCGCGGGACAATCGGGGCCGTCAGTCATCACCGCGGCCTACGGGGGCGATTCAGGTCACGGTGGCATGCGGGTTGGATGCAGCCACACAGGCGGCATTGGCGGATCACGCATTGGACAAAGGGCGCCATAATAAGGAGTGCTGTGCACAGGACCTCCCAGTCCCTGAAGATGGGTAGACGAGTAAACTACCCGAAACGTCGGATCCCAAATAAACCCCTCCCGGTGAACGCCCACTCTTCTTTTGAAATGCATATTTAGTTGATTTCTATTGGCGTTAATGGAAAATTAATTGAAGACCCATATAACACGAGTCTCGCTTTATTCGGACTGTGATTCACTCAAGTGGTCGAAAAGGCATTTCTTTAAAAGCCAGCACACTACCATGTAGGAATCGACCTGGAATTGTTTTTCCTGCGAACTAGTTTATGGGACACCAATCAACAAATCTTTTCCGCAGGAAAGTGTATAAGAAATTGATGTTTCTTTATCCTCCCTGTGAAATATGACGGACTTTCAGAAGGCGTCGAGAATAAATAGAAAAACCTTACTTAATTCGCATGAGATTTACGTGCACCGGAAGTGGGTAGTTTCGTTTTTAAATTGCAGCAATTCCCAGAGAAAGATTCAGAAAACATTTTGACAAGCAGTTGTCTGCTTTCAATAAATTATCCTCTGGCCAGTACGTTTATATGGTAAAGAGGTGAATTAGAACAGGCAGGTAGTATGAAAGATCGTGTAATGTTATCTCTTCACACAAGTGGGATGTGGACATTATGGGAGGGGGGATAATTAGGGGCGTGTGGTAATGATTAGTATGATAGGTGAGAGTGATGGAGGGAGTCATGTCGGGAAAAAGAGGGGAAAGGAACGAAGGCGTGGAGAGTTACGTAGAGTTACTAGGTTAACTGACTTTTGGCAGGGACCTGTACGGGTCTTTCTGTACGCACAAGACAAACTTGCCTACTCTGATTTCGTTCGCTCCTTTCATTGCTGGTGGACTCTGTCCCAGCGGTTTAGGGTACTCTTGTGCGACCTCATAAATCACTCAGAAGTTCTCGCTGGGGTCCACGTGGTGCTCAGGATCGCACCGTTTATGCGTCTGCTTTGGCTTTTCTCAGCCCTGCCGGGGGATGGCATGTTTACGCAGTCATTCAAATAGACGCCGGCTCGTATGATCAATAGTAACATGGTTCACCGGAGCACGTAAATGAGTAACTGCAAGTAGAGGTGGCCTGAGCTGGCAAGTTTTATTTACCCTTTCCGTGTAGAATGAGTATGGCCGAGAATAATACGTGAACTCTGGTAAGATATGCGAAACAGCTTAATTGAGGCGCCTGCTGGGAGTTCACCCGCCACGTTCAAGCGAACAGAGTTTTTTTACTGATATCAACACAACGGGTCTTTCTGGTCTCTCAATAATATTCTCTGCATTAAATCGATTAGAATACCGCTTCTCGTGCAGCAAGTCCTGGATCTTCCCAAACTCCTCGACAATGCTATCTGCTGGAAAAATTCTGCCTGTCCTTTTCCCCAAACAACTGACTAGACTGCATCACGGCGACGATCGGATATGTGGTCTTGCTGGGAAAACGACAGGCAAAGACCCTTGTAATACGGGACCGGTACACATGTAAAGAGCAATGAAATGGCTAGCGAAAACATCAAGTCCTTGACGTCGTCAATCATTTAGAAGGTAACCGGATAGCTAATATTGTAAG